GGCACACAGCTGTGTGAATCCTTGGAAAAGTAAGCACAAGGTAGAATGCAACATCATCTTCCACTGATTCCCAGTTTTGGCGTCACATTAACAGCAACAAAAAATATACTGAAGAATTGCAGGTTTAGACTACTGATTTCTCAGATGTCTCTATCTGATGGAAAGCAGCCCTGTGTTAATGTGACCTACCCTTTCAGATCGTGAATCTGGGTCTGGGCTTGTGGGCTTGCACAGGACACTGTGGGATACCTGCTCTAGTAATCAACCTCCTATTCACACTGATGCAAAAGTTTGTCAGGCTTGCAGCAGGCAGCGATGGCATGCTGTGTTCCCCATGCCCCTTTTGAGCTGGCACAAGAGCAGCCATGACACGGTGCTCCTTTCCCACCCCCTTAATGTGGGACAGACACCCCACATTTAGGGGAAGAGAGAGCAACCACACGTGAGTGTCTTTTCTTGCCTGGAAGCTCGGAAGGGCTGCTCCAGCATGTCGGGATGGGCCTGGAGCCGTGTTCAGTAGCCAGGACAGAGCTGGGCACTCGCCCAGGGAAGGGAGTGAAGGGGTGATTGCTGTGCCAGTTGTTACAGGCAAACCTTCTCTTGCAGCCTGAGGGGATTGCTAAGCATTTAGCAGCTCTTATATTTCGATTGGTAATACTCACTGAACTGCCACAGCAACTTAGTGTGTTCCCACCTCCTGCAATAATTGCATCCGAGGAGATATGAGTAGTGGGATGAGGTTATTGATGCTGGGCTTAGGGTGAGATGGGAAAATCAGTGCCTGGGTGTGAATGTTCTCATGCAGGGTTTTTGGGGGTTTTGTTGTGGTAATCAGGAACAAAGACCATGGACAAGTGCCAGACCCTGCTGTCCCTTACATTGTCGTCAGGGAAGGAAAGCAACAGGAAAGGAGAGCACTGGTCCCCACAGCAGCAGCAGCTGTTGCACACATCCTATTAAAGCAGGTAGGAGACAGTGCCTCTGTTTCCCAGGCTGCAGTAACAGCTCTGGTGTCTTTCTAACAGTGCAGAGAGGACAGAGGCCAGCTTGCCCAGAAGCTGTCAAGAGGGATTGCAGGAAGGGTTATTTTGGCAACAAAGAGCTTCTGGTGCTCAGGCATCTTGTGCACACTCACCCTTAGCAAAGAGAACAGAGGTGACAGTGGAACAACATTCTGTTATTCCAGAGGTGAACCAGTTCTGGAAAGAAGAAATGAGAATATAATTTCACCATTTTCTGCCCACTTCTGTGAATGGATAATAAAAGCACTGATCTCCCTTGTAAAAGCATGCTGGTGTTTCTGAATGAAAAGTACTGCTATTACTTTCTTGTAATAGCAAGAATGACCTTTATTTTCCCTTTATTTATTTATTTACTGAACAAGGTGTAAATTGCTCGTGACCAGCAGAGATGTATGTCAGTGGACACATCCCTGCAGACACCGAAGGATTGTTTGCACTGAGACTCCTTGTGTCACAACTTATTCATATGCTGTGGTTATATTGCATGAAATGAGGGCAGGAATTTGGTCTGGAAGAACTAAGGGGGCTCAATAGTGCGGCCTGGGGATGTACACCTCTCCCATGGCCATCAGCACCTGTGGAAATCTAGGGCACCAGGAATATTTCTTTGTCTACCCTGGGGTGCTCTGACCTCCGCGGGAGCACTGACTTTGACCCTCATTCATGGAGAGTTTCCTAAACTTCAAGATAGACTAGAATCCACTAAATTGTGAAGTAGATCGTAGAGAGTAGTGTAGGTGTATCACTTAGGTGAGAAATTTAGGTTTTGGGATTTTTAGTATGTTGTGGGTGGAAGCAAGATGGAGGGCACAGGGTATCATCCTGGCTTTCTTCTTCATGCTTCTTCTTCCTCCTTCTTCATGGGTTTGGGTGGCATTTTGTAATTGGGTGGAAAAATCTGCATTGCAGACTCTTTGGGATCAGTTATTTTGTTAAAAGGGGAAATAATCTAGGTGCCAGTTCTTAATTGCATAGTTTAGTTTTAAAAGACCTTGTAGCAAGAGATTGTTAGCCATTTTTGCGGTGCTTTTCCAGTCTGCTGAGCCTGGTGTGGACAGCTTGCAAAACTTTAGATAAGATAATAATAAACAAGAACCTGAAGACCAAAAAAATCCAGTGCATCTCTCCTGACACAAAACCACTCCAGGACGGTCTCCCCCGAAAGGGGAGCCTCCTGGGAGGGCCCAGCCTGTGACCCAGAAGCCAGAGAATGGGCAACAGGTACCCTGACAAGAGCTCACTTTCTGCTTTATATGAGCAGAGGGAGGAAAGGTGTCCCAGTGGTACCATGGCTGGCCTGTGACGTGGCCACTGACCTGCGCTGCGGCGGTGTGTGCTTCTCCACAGACCTGGGGAAAGTCATTAAGGGCCATTTCAGACCTACATACCTTGGAAATACTTTCTCTTAATTCCTCCATGCTTCTCTTTCATATCTGAAAGGTGACTTTCAAGAATTTTGTCATGCAGGAGTCATGTGCAAGATAAGCAGAGATAAATACCTGAGATAAATACCAAAGATAAGTTAAAGCTGTTATCTGAAAACCAGCTGAATAGGATTGAAAGTCTTTAGCCTTTAAGGGGGTAAGAAAAAGTCTTGGTCTTCATTACATTACTCTAGGCAACAAGCATGCTATTTTAAGATTTGTGGGCAAGTCTTGTTTTATCTTTTATCTAGACTGAGATTATCATGGCTGATACTGATACTGCAAATAACGTTTTGGTTTAGTTGTTTCATGGTATGCTATCCATCCAAACTGGTCCTTAAATGACTCCTCTGCTTGCCTGGAGGCCTGCAACTTTTTGTTCTAACAGCTGGACCACGTCCTGAAATCATTATCTCCCTGTGATGTACCTGGAAACTTAAAGGAAGTGACTTGGTCAAACTTGGACAGGAGTTTTTTGTTAGAGCCTGGAACTGAGTCGAAGGCTAACATCCCACACGTTGAGAGGGATGACTTTTCAGCCCAGAGCTGCCCAGCACTCTTGGATCTGACTTGAACACATTCAGGTGAGTGTCGGACTGAGTGTTATCCTTGTAAGTTTGGGTTCAAAATCCTGTACAACCACAGCCTCTGAGCACATCTGTCAGAGCCACATGGCCACTTTTGGACAGCAATCTAATGTGATGGCAAGGAAAAAAAGGAAGAGGAAAAGAAACAAATGTGCTGTGGAAATGTTACATCTTTCAGATGCAAAAAGAACAATCACAGAAAAATGTTATGCCCATACTGGAAAACATATAGTGGTTATCATAGAAATAGCAATGAAATATGCAGGCTATGTGAGCTACACAGTGCAGTCAACAAATGTCAACCACCTAAATCTTTCTGACTGTGGAGAACATATCTGGTCCCAGGTTTATGGCTTCTGAGGCAATGGACTGTAATAAGATCACAGCAACCAGCTTCCTAGAAAAGTGATCTAGCTACAAACAATACATGCTCATAATTATACTACAAATATCTCAATCAGTAGTCACTTGTGCTTCTTGTGTAGGCCAGTTGTAAAATACAGTTAACAGGAGAGCAAGCACTGTGCTCATAAAGTTACGTGATAATTTGAAAGTTAAAGTAAACATGTTCTGCCTCTGTTACTGCTCCCTGTGTTTATTCCCCACAAGTTACAGTAGGGAAGAGGTGAAGAGAAAGAAAAAGACAGAGGAAAAATTTACCTGTGCTTCCATTCCTCATATCCCTGCTTTGGGCTGCTGGGAAGCTCCAGGCAGTTGGGAGTAGTAGAGCCCTAGCAGGTGCTTGTAAAAGCAGCATGTACAAGGGTGAAATTCTGGTCATCTTCCAGTCCTTTCCCAGGATGCAAACAAGGTGAAAGCAATAGTAAATACACACGGTAAAGATGAAAATACTCATTCTGTTTCTCTGCATAAATTCTTGACCTTGTGCAACAGAGTTTAGGCAGTACTTATGAGTTACATGGATTTTTTGCAATTGCTATGGGACAGCTGATATATGTGGTCCCATAGAAAAGCATGTGAAGACTAGAAGTCAACTCCAGCCTGAATTCAGATTTTCTGGGGGGAGCTGACTTCAATTTGTTGAAAAACAGAATTTCTCACACCAAAATGAATATCTTGTACAAAATTTCTTCACTACAATGCTTGCATAGATTGCATATTTTAATCTTTATTACTTTTCTTTTCATCATCTTAGATTTTACAGGTGAAGCAACTTAAATGTCCTAGGATTTCTGTTTGGACTTAGACCCCCAGGCATCTTTCTGCTCAGACATGGAACAGTAGTGCACATTCTGGACAGCACAGTCACCTTTCCTTCAATGCTCAAAAAGGGTCAGTAAGATTATTTGATAGATCAGCCTTATATTACAATTCAATTTTTCATCTAGATTTTGACAAAATCAACTTCAGATAATGTTTCTACATGTGCATATGCACCTATGAAATAGAATTATAAAATGGTTTGGGTTGGAAAAAGATCTTAAAGATTTTGTGGTTCCAAACCGATTTCTACAGGCAGGGACACTAGACCAGGGACCTCAAAGCCCCATCCAACCTGGCCTTGAACACTTACAGGGATGAGCCATTCACCACTTCCCTGGGTAGCCTGTTCCTTTGCCTCATCACCACCACAGCAAAAAATTTCTTCCTTACATGTAATTCAAACCCTTTTTTAATTTAAGGCCATTCTCCCCATCCTATCACTGCGTACTGTTGTAAGAAGTCCCTCTCCAGCTTTGCCCATGAGTGAAACAAGCACAGGTGTGTGTATCTACAGGAAAAACAAGTGAAAGAAAGCATGTTCACCTGGGATCCTGCAGGGCATCACCCAGGAGTGCCCCTCAGGGCTGTTGGTGTCCTTGGGTCATGCCAGCAGATGGAGAAAACGCTGGTCCTACATCAAGAACCCCACAAAGAGCCAGGTGATGGCCATGGACACAGAGCCAAAACAGATGGTCAGATGGCCATTTGCACACAAATGTCCACAGCGTGAAAGAAAAGGAAGACTAAAATTTCTCCCTGTGCATATATTTGGTGCAGGTGGTGACCTGGGGAGGTGGCAGCACCCTGGTGTGATGTTCTTGCCCCCAAGGCCCTTCAGCAGCTGGATGACCTCCGTGTTGTGCTTCAAGGAGAGGTCCTGGCCACAGGTGTTGAGTAGGAGCACCAGGGCATGGCCAAGGCCAAGCAGGTCTCTCATGCAGTGGAGGTCAGCCCACAGGTGGGAGGTGCTGCCCTAGACCACCCACTTTGCCCAGGAAATGAGGGAGGTGCCGAGAAAGAAGCACTGCCTGCTGGAAGGGAAATGGCTCCTTGAATGACATCCACATACGCACAGTAGACATTCTGGAGCACGAACAGCTCCCTGATGAAAAGCTCAAAGGGCTCTAACTCTTTGTGCAATGTCATGAGGTAGGCGAGGGTGCAGGCAGCCTCCTCGGCTGCAAGGGCACAGGTGATGCGGTGGTTCTGTGTGACGTACTCCCTGCAGTTGGATTCTCTTCCTTCAGAAAGACACCTTGTCTTCAATAAATGCTTTACAGGCTTCTGCTAAAATCAAACTCGCTGAGAAGTTCAGCCTCCAAAGAGGTTTTTGTGCTTGCAAATTAACAGCGTAGAAAACAAATGGAAGTGAAACACTGTGACTCAGAACTGCAAAAAGGCAATATCTGATGTTGCAATTCATTGCTCCTCAGAAAAAGTCTCTCTTGAAATACAACATCAGACACCACCAACAGCTTGTTTTGATGGCTGTGCTTGCTTCCTGCTTTAGAACTTGTGAATCCATCTGATGCAGAGCATGCAGCTGCTGCCCTTACTTTCAATATTAATAGTTGCACAGTCACTGATGTAGAAGCAGCATAAGTGAAGAACAACTTGCAGATGCAAGCTGCTCCACAGCACCCTGAAGATTAAACAAGCATATTGCATAATTACTGTCTTGCCAATGAGCAGCTGGCACATATTTCAGAGTGTCCCCAAATTCAATGTGTGGATATGTTCTCAACTGCTTCCTCCCCACTCTCCCTGCATGTATCATATAGCTGTTAAAATTTCTGTCCATGTAGCCTATGACAGAAAAACCTCATATTTATCTTATGCCATTCTTTTTTTTTTTTTACTTAAAGGATTTTTTTTAACCACCCCAATGTGTCAGTCATCAGTCACACTTTGGGGTGCTTCTGAATTGTGAAAGACTTTTGACATGAAATAAATACTACTTCAACATGTCTCAGTGACAATTACACTACTAGATCAACATATATGTAAGCTATTGTGTCCTTTCTGCTCTTTGATATTCCAGATAAATACAATTTATAGAAGGCAATAATCAGAAACCCAGCTCAATACATACCATTTCCCAGCGAAAGAGCACAGGCTGAAGAAGAACCACTCATCCATCCTCTACCTCTATATTTCTGTCTTCACTATTCTTCATTTCTCATGTAAGGCCACCAACATTCACATATAAGAAGCAGGAGAATTTTTGCCCCTGTGTTGAACTATGTCACAGTATCAGTTTTTTTCAGCAATATTTTCATTTGCACATTTGAAATCTGACAAACAGTTTCTACTAAGAGTCATGGATGTGTTGTGATGAGTTCTAGGCTTACATCCATCACAAGGGACTAGGTTAGCAAAACCTGCTATTTAAACTATTTAAATTAACCCTAGCTTTCTGATAAGACATTTGTATTTCTAAGAGCTGTGTATGCATCTGGTATAACATGCTTATGCAATGAGAGCTTGACATAGCTCTGACTAAAGTGAAATCCTTGGTAAGTCTCTTTGTTCAGCTGTGAGCCTGTTCATGTGGATCTGCCATGACACAGCACGTTTGGGGCATGCAAACTTTTCTCAACGTCACATTCTTTTGCTCCAATGTAAAGCAATGCTGAGGCAAAACCTGTTGATCTGAGATTTTGCCAGTAAATGTTCTGAGTGGGCAGTGCATTGTGCTACAGAGGGAGAAATGCTGCTGCAGGCCAACAGTACAGCTTGTTAAAGGTGCACAGATCCTGAGCTGACACTACTATCCAAGTCTAGCAAAGAAATGCACAGCAAACACCACCATGAGGGGAAAACATGTCCCAGCTCAGTCACCGGTGAATGCTGTCCAAGGGAACACAGACCTGCCCAGAGTGCTTCCAGCTCATTCCTAATTTGATTGTTAGGCTGTATTATACCCAGGAACAAACACCACTCCCCTGTGTGACACCTCAGAAAGGCAAATTGCCATGGCAGCTGGTGACTATAAGGCCAGCAGCCTCTCGCTGTCCTCTGTGCATTTCACAGACTGTGGAGTTCAGCCTTCCCACCTCCTCACTGGGTCAGCTGGCTGCAATACCATTTCTCCCCTTCTGCCATAATCTTAACACAAGACCTCCATCCAGCTGGAGTTAGGAGGGTGTGGAAGGAGAAAAGTGGGGGAAAGATGGTAGCATTCCTGCAGGAGTCAGGGTTTCATTAAGGGGGGTCTCAGCTGGGGGCAGAGAGCACAGGTAGTTTTTCTGAAGTACAAAGGCTGAGATCTTTCAAGGCATTTGGATGCCTTGGAAAGTGTCAGATCTTTAAAAATGCAGTAATATTTCAAAACAGTGTAATCTGCTACACAGGTAGGAAAGCCTCTAGGATCTCAAAATACATATATTATATATATATATATATATATATATATATATGAAAGGAGATTCTTAGTTGTTGAAGCCTGCATTACTACCATGGTCCGTACGAAACAAGTAAAGCTACATGCAGAAAATGAGATGAGTCTGCTCTTCACAGGAGTGCAATGCAAGATTTAATTTTTCCTTGGTGTCTTTTGTTGTTGGTTTGAGGTTTTTTCTTGCACAGACATTGCTGCAGCACCTTTGCAGAAGTCCAGAGTCACTGTGATCCTTTGGTACCAATAGCCTTGGGTGAAAGAAGGCTGCATGCTTGGTGCTGCTTCTTAATCTCAGTGCCTTGACTGGCTGGCACAGTTACTATTTAGATACCTGAAAACATGCATATAAATGATTGCTGTGGGAAATCAAGCTGTCAAAACCTTTGGGGTTTTGAGGACTTTTTTGGGTTTCTTTTTTAGTGCTGGTTCTGCCTTGTGCTGCTCTGTGTGAAATAGACCCATGCTTGAATTATAGGCAATATTCACCAAACAAAACTAACCACCCCCCACCCTAGGAAAAAAAAAAAAAAAAAAAAAAAAACCAACACACAAACCAAAAAACCAAACCAAAGCCAGCCAAACAAACAAACAAAAAAGTACAAGTCACATGAGCCACCTCAATGGAAAAAGTATTTTTTACATATTGGTGTTGTTGATTTACAGACTCATCCAAAGTTCAGATGCAAGAAGTGGCCAAATCTAGATGTACATCTGAACCACATTACGGCACCTGTCATCAGCAAGGTGTGAGGAAACATCATGAGAGTCCTGGCTTCTTCTGTTGAACAATGTATTGGACCTCTGCATATCCTGGGTGCAAGTACAGAGTTATGGGACAAAAAAAAAAAAAAAATAGATGATTGAATTTACCATGAAATTTAACAAATAGGCTGTGTAAAAGGGTTCTGTGCTGGCAGAACTAAAACTGCTGCTGACTGAGATTTGCAGTGCCACTCCTTCCTATTGTTCCCTGGACTTGCACTGAAGCAATTTTCATTATCCTGAGAAGAGTTTTTGGTGTGGCTCTTGTAGTAGAAACATACTCCCCAGTAGGATTAGGGACTGAAATGTCTTCCATGTGGATGAATGGGAATAGACCTTTCCAGACAGTGAGGATATTATCTTAGGAATAGGGTTAGTACTCAGTCAACTGCTCTTGGCCTTAACAATTATAGGTAATTGGTTTCAGCTAATTTGTTAGCTAATTTAAAAAGCAAGATGCACAGGTTTTGCACATTGGTTTTGAGTTCCTGTTTGGCCTCAGTCAGTAGCGACGAATGTGATGCATTTCATGTTCATTTGGAGTACCTTGGCTTTTTTTATTCTGTTGTTAGGACAAAACCATCTGTATCACGTTATTCCTTTTCCTGGCCCTTTCATGCAAAGCTGTCAGTTTGAACTGGCACCACTGTTAAACTCACAGTAAGCCTGTAGGGAGCAAACAATTTTTCCTCAGTGTGGTTTTTCTGGTTTGGAAGAGCACGTAGCCACAGTTTGCTGTTTTGTGCCCAAGTAAAGGATCTCTTCATCCCTCACGCCTTCTGAACTTAATGAGACGAAACTGCTTTGGTCTTGTGTTGGTTTGGGATGTCCTACAGTGTGCATGGCCTCTCTAAAACTCTCCCTTTGGAGCAGCCCTGCCTGGCAAGGGTCTTCTCTAACACGTGCCTTACTCATATGCCCTGTCTGAGCTGGACGCTGTCAGCACAGGGGAAGTGAAAGCAGACTCTGAGCACAAAAGCAATCAAAATTTATTCCTATCTCTCCTCTGCCTTCCCTTTTTCCTTGTTCATAGCAGTCCCTGCCATTCCTACACTTCCCAAGCCACCATAATCTGACTGTAGAAAGAGAAGAAAATTCAAACCTACCTGGAGCAGGAGTTCCCAGGCAGGCGCACTGACACAGGACGGTCACAACGCAGCAGCACAGGCAGCAAACGGGAGGAGAGATGGAATGACACATTGACTCAAGTGCCAGCTCAGCTCACATGGGCCAGAAAAACCATCGAGTAATCTAATTGCACCCAGTCAGTGAGCACATCTGGCTGCACAAACAGCAGGGGCCAGACAATGCATCCATCTCATCTGCCTTTGTCTTGCTGCCGTCTGGAGCTGCAGACACAGAGCCTCCTACCCTGCAGCAGCTTCACCGCTTGCCTGCATTTGCAGCAGACTCTCAGTACAAAGGTTTTGGGAATAGGTAGGCTGCCTAGCCTCTTAGCAGAGCGCATTTTGCAAGTCAGACTTACTACTGCTCCAAAGCAGAGCACTCGACAGCTCCCTCCTCCAATTAATTTCCAACAGGGACATGTATTCACCTCTGTGCAAACTGCTCCTCATCACCTGCTCAGGAGCAACAGCACGGCATCCTCTTCCCTGCTCATTTATCCTCCTGCACAGGGAAAGCAAGACATAATTAAACACCTCGTAATAGAGGACAGGCAGGCTGTGGTGGTGAAGCTGGTTTTCTGCTGTAAATATGACTAGATTTTATAGCTGACACTGGTGTAGTCAAGGCACAGATAGGGATCTGTTTTCTCCCTGCAGATTAAAATCCACATGAGTGTACAGTAAAGTAAAATTGTACATGTGCAGCTACCATTTGCCATGGAGGAGTGTCCAAAGGCAACTTACAGTGGGTTTTGCAAACATTTGGGCACTTGACAGCTTCATGAGCATGAACCCAAGGTGTTCCCCTCGGTGTGTGAAGAGAGGCAGAGGGTGTTAGGCCCTCAGGGAGGTGTCAGGGCAGGGCAGTGTCCCTGCAGCCTGGTGTCTGCATGGCCAAGGGTCTGCTCCCAGCTGCAGGTGTGTTAGCAGCTAGAGGAGCAAAGCAGCTCCATTTGCAGGTTGGGAGTCACCTGCTCTGCCAAGCAAGTCTGACAGCCCTGTACACTGCTGCTACAGGTGACTGGCTGTGTCAGAGGGAACAGGTACATGGATCAGATCACTGTTGTTTTTTTTAATGCCTCCACTAAACATGTAGCATTATCATGCTCTTTATTCTGACAATATAACTTGTTG